TAGTACATAGTAAATAAGGCATTTAATGTCTTCACATACATTTTATTAAGAACTATTCTGAAACATCGTGTTAGAACGCAACCTATCCATTAAATTTATATTTCACATTAAAAAAAAACATATTTTTTCCTTGTAACCAGGTTTTAAATAATGAACAAAATGTAAATTTTAGCCAAATAAAGTTGTTACCAACAATGGAATAAAAAACAACGGGAAAAGTCCGATCTGAAATTCAAATTAAAACACGACTGCATGTTAAACAAGATACATAATTGCCATATTTCATAAATGCCAATGCAGTTAACTACTTCAGTATAAAGTACAATGACAGCATTATTGTTTTAACTATTAATTAAAAATGATTAATGGGACTATGGAAAAAAACAAAACGTAAGAATATATACGGTAAATGCCTTTAAGTAAAATGGAATTTTGCTTTGGTTTTTTGAGATGAGCTAATCTGTGTATTTTTTTTTTATTTTTTATTTAGAACTGGCCAGCACTTGACTGCCATCCCACCTGATGGTAAGTGGCGATGCAGCCTTTAAAACAAAAGGCGATATTGTAACCAACAATGCTTGGTTAAGAATAGATTTTCGATACATTTTATTATGATCTAATCTCATAAATCGTATGCCTATTACAATTGAACTATTTTTTAAATAATTTATAACTAAACAATCACTTTGACACGATTTTTATAAAAAAATAAAACTTTGAATAACACAAAATGGAAGCTTAAGATTTACATACTTTATATTGTGCATACAATACAAAAGTGGAAAAAATCGATCTATCAATAACGAATATTTAGAGCTTATCCGTGTTTTGTTTCTAGTTTAATGACATGAAACCAATCACGTAAAATTTAAATATTAGTAATATGGTCACACAACTAATAAATATTATATACAAATTACACCAATTGGTGTAATTAAATAACAATTCTATAGACTTCTTTCCCTTTCCGTATCATACGTTCTATATCATCTGACACATTCTCTTATATTATGTCATATAATGTAAAGCGGAACAATTTTTAAACGCCGCGCGGTACGGACATCCGTCATCCGTATTATTAAACGCACACAACCAAGTAATGTACCCGAATGTCAAAAAACGCTTTGCATGACATCGACTTGAAGACCGATAACACACTACCGATTAAACTACACATCCTTCCTTATACTGTTGAAGATGAGATCAAGGAAAAAGACAAAGGAGGACATAACATTTCCAATTACAACATTAAAACGTCCGCCGGGACCTATTGACAGCGCTCGTGTGACAGATACTGCGGCGGCTGTCAAAATAAAATATGAGCCAATAAGGGCGTTGAGCGTCTGCGACAGGGCTGTCACGGCGAAGAAATTACGATATATGAACTTATTAAAATGTCTTCATCTTTTTTTTTTTACTCGTTTCGCGCCCGAGTGACGTCGCGTTCCACGTTAAGGCGGAGTGACGTTCGGCTGCGTTCAGTGTTATTTCTGCTGAATCTATTCTCCCGCTCGAACGTGTTTTTTTAAGAAAGTATATGAGTTATGTCACTGGTAACGAAATATAGCCGTAAATAATAAAGTACCGTAAAGTTTTATACCGTAAAGTAAGATTCAGAACTTTTTGTGATGTGTATGTAAGATTTTTTTCCTTTCAGTTTTGTTTTTATCGATTGATTCATTTATGTTGACGTGAAAAAGATGAATATTTAGTTGAAATTGTATGGCCAATAGTTACTTCCCCTTCACTAAATGTTATTAATGTGATCATTTCTCTTTACATTAGTTTTTAAAATAATATAATTTGAGATAAAAAAAAATCTTGCACGCCAATAACGGCCTCACGTATCAACTACCCTAGTTTTACGCGAAATGACCCATAGAGAATCGGTTACCAGCATATGCCAAGTGTTAACCGGCGGTCGGCCTCATCAAACGCCATGTATTCACACGTAACTAACGGTGCCAACTAGTTAAATCTGTTGTTCCAACAAAAAGTCCGTAACAGCTATTCAACGCCACATGTGGTGGCGTAAGCATTTGACACGCGCTATCTGGCGGGACCTGACGTATGGCGGCGTGGAAAAAAATGTTGTTTATGAATCCACTTAACGCGCCCGACATTGTTGGGGACGCGTTACAATGCGTAAAGATAAATATTTGCTTACACGTCGCCGCCCATTTGTCGATGTGAGACATCTCGTAACACTCGCCCGTTTGTAAGTGAGCGGTACGGTATCAAGAACAACAGTTTTGCTAACAAAAAAACAAAATCAAAATGTTTCACTCATTATACGTGTTCTTTTTCATCTTAGGATTTCCTTTTTTACGGGATGAAGATTCAAATCAAACGAGTCGGTCATCGATTCCCGACTAATTGCAATAACAATCTAATTAAGATAAATTTGTGGTATATAAAAAAGTTTTCGTGTTCCCCGAGTAAGCCGTAAAGTTACACCGAAACGGCTCGTTGATTACGATCGTTACAATTTTCGAATTAAACGCTGATTAATGCACAGATGATTAATAAATGTCTACGCGAACCACAAATAGACTGTATGGGTGCAGGTACGTTCGTCTTTGGGAAAGCCGACCGGGCAAAAAGTGAAACAAAGAGGAAGCCGGGCAAAAAGCGTGACGGAAAGACTGATCCAGCGGGCATCTGTTGCGGGCGGTGTGGAGAATCGCGCCGAGTCACATGTTGGAGCCCTACGAAATTTAGCAGTTGCCTTGGTATAGCATTAATTCGGAAAAAAGACAAAGTTACGAATTCGAATAACCGTCCGTGACCTTTAGAAATTAAAACAAAACAAAAAAAAGTTATTTTTCAGCCAGTAATCGAAAGTTTTTTTTATGCCAGTGGCATAGTGTATGGCCCAATGCAAAATTGTCTTGCGCTTTAAAAAATAAAGCTTTTTAATTAGAATATTTGTCAAACTGACGCGTCGGCGGGCGCGATGGTCCCGGACGAATGCGCGCGTTATTCAATTTGCGAACGATTGGGAGGCCATGATGGAGTATCGATCATTTGTTACGGTTACCGCGCGAATGTTGCGTCGTGTGATGAGTTTGAAATTTCGTTACGAACAATTTCACGGCGAAATAGTGAGTGTGTTGTGTTGTTCAATGTCGCTTTTGTGGCTTGCAGTCATTTGGTAGCCACTTTAGTCAGATACACAAAATATAATTATAATTACGGTATATATATAATATTGATGTAATAGTAGATTTTACAAAATTTTATTATGAATCAATCTTAATATAGACTGCCCTGAAACGCTTTACGTTCAATTTAAGCATCAGCGTTTTTTAACCCGTCTTCTCTATGTACCTACTTTTCTCTTAGAAGCAAATACAAAATATGGGGTGGATGCAAATTTTATAAATTTACAAGAATGTTAGTGCAGTTTTGTAGAATTTACAACAATAACATTTAATTTTCATAGAGACCCACGTTCTTCCAAAGTTACCGGAATATTCCAAATTTTGTTCTGCTTCACGATTCTACAGCATGTCCTAATATTAACGGCCCAGGCGATCGGCTACGGATTATCTATGAAATGTTTTAATATCCAGAATAACTACTTTCGGTTATAACAGTTTAAAGGAACAACACAGTTATTTTTTATTGCTTTGTTTTTGTTTCACTTTCACGGCTCTATAGTCATCATGGATATCATATGCCGTTAGTTAACACGGAGTTAAACTTCTTAATAAAGCTTTACAGATTTTTCTGACTTTATATATACAATATAATACATATAAAAATAAAGGTATATTTTTAGCGTTTGTTTTGTTTTCAGTCAATCAATTATTGTTAATTTATTGTTCAACCGTAGTTACTGTTATAAACTCATCGTTCCGTAAATATGTCCACACATTTGTAGCTACGACGAAATGTTGAAAATCGCGTTCAACGCTAAAATAAACTATATCAATCTACGCGTAAAATCTACATTTATAATTGCATCCATCTATGCGTAAATTATCTTTAAAATAGATGATAGAGTTAAAGCATACAATATAATTGTATGCGGCTATAGTGAAATGTGAAAATAACCAAATTACGCAGAAGTTTATTGATAAAACAAATAATTTTGCCTATCTGTAATGTTACAGTTAGTATAAAATTCTTAAGCATTCTAATGATAAACATTAAAACTTATAAAGAGATTGAGTTATTTGAAGAAGGTTTTACTCTATTTTCCTCCTACGAAAAGAAAAACTTTTCTTATCGGCAATAGAAAATTGTTTCTATGCACTTGACTGTCGTTCCTTAAATTATTTTTTTAAAACGAAGCTCTTTAAAATTTTTAACGCGAACAATTAGAACTACGAAGTTGGTGTTGGTGAACTCGTCGATTAAGTGGTGTAGAACTGATCGAGGATTCTCTACCGAGACCTTAGACCATTAGAGATGATCTTTAAAAACCAAAATAGGCTTGTTTTCATAAATGTTGTAATAAACGGTAGAGTGCTTTAAGGTATATAAGTGCTCCGAGGGCCTATTAACATTTCGCGTAAACGACTATGCTTTCGATTACTGACGGTCTGTTAAGAATTGTTATTAGAAACACCGATGGAGATGCCAATTAAAGTAAGCAAACAAAATATGGGTTCCGGAGGCAAAGACCTCCTCGGTACAGAGTAGGGCATGGTCCTCCAAGAGACTCGGGTGCCGGTCTGAAGATTTTATCGTGACGTCAAGCTTACGTTAGAATTTCACCAATCGAAAAGAGAAAAAAGAATAAGGAATTTTAAATAACCCGCCAGGGCAAGTAGATTACAGCAAAGAGGTTTGATAATAAACAAAATAAAACCTCGTTATAACATATTGAATACTATTGTCATGTCAGCAGCTCTCGTAATCTGTAGAAGTTTGTGAGAAGCTCTAGTCTTTGCCGAACAAATCAGTGTGAATTTCATTAAGAGGCTGGTCTGATAGGCGAGCTGTTCTATACCTTTAGTCCAACTCGGGAGAATTATGTTTGCCGAACTAACCTGTATGACCCTCATCGGGAGGCCGGTCTCCTTGGCGAGCTGCTCCCGTATGTGCCTCGTCGGCTTCGGCGTCTGCGAGAAGGCGGACTTGAGTATCTCGAGCTGCTTCGCCTTGATGGTGGTCCTGGGCCCGCGCCGCTTGGAGCCGCCGTTGCCGTCGTCGGGCGATTTGTTCTCCGCCTGCGAGTCCCTGGTCTCCGGGTCGCCGTCCAGCGAGCCCTGCGAGGGGAACAGGTACAACTGAATGCGACAATGTGGCTGTGACGCTACGCCAGTGGCTATCAATGGTCACCTCCAAGGCAACAGTAGTGGAACATTGCTTCTTTCTTTTGTTTTTTTTTTTTAAATAGAAAAAGCATTGCCCTTACTTTAGGATAACATAATCCTGTGTTGTAGGGACGTTTTACAAACATAAATTTCACGCGGACAAACACCCAGATGCGAAACAACTACCTGTGGGTCACACAAATAGTTGTCCCGTGTGGGAATCGAACCCACGACCCCCGACGCCGAAGCCAATACCTTGGCAACTGTGCTACGGAGTCATCAAATGCTACTAATGGTCACCAAGAGCTATGGTAGTGGAGTGTCGTCGAAGACGTATGTCGTAATGGACATAAAGTTGCGGTTAAAATAGATAGACTTTACGGATTTTATCTTGATTGCGAGTGCCGAATTTTCGGACACTTTACCGAGTCAATAGTCACAGGAGGCCTATGTTCAGGCGGACTCTAACAAGCTGAAAATATAAAATCATGATGATGAAGATTTGTAACAAATTAATGATCTATGGTGCTTAAAATATTATTTTAGTTAACGTAACGTTATTAAACTTTCTCGAAATGCAGTAACACAAGAAAAAGGCCCCTTAGATATAATATAAAGTTGATGATTCATTTGCCTCGAATTGGGGACTTTTACTAAGTCCTTACGTTTATCTCTCTTTCTTCGTTTCTCTTCTACATGCTTGTATATTCTTTGTAATTATGAATTACTTTTATATTGTGTTTTGATGTACCTAATTATGAACACTTGTAAATATGGTACACTTTTTAAAAGATTATGTTACGGGGTGGAGGGTTGGATTACTTGAGACACAGGATTCGTCCCAGTTCAAGTGTCAATCCACCATAATCTAGTCTTGTGTTTCTGTTTTCATGTATTTTGTATCGTATTTTCTAATTTATCTCAAGTTTATAGCCACTTTTGTTGATTATGGTGAGGAATAAATGATTATTATTATTATTATTATCATCTACTTTCTTCTTCGCTTTTTCCTGTCGTATATTGGGATGTTGGACTTAACTTGAAAGGTATTTGCAAAGAGAGCTTAATCTATCCAGCATCGACTCACCTGGTCTTCTGAGTCTTCGTGCGGCTTGGTGTCGCCGTTGTGCGATAGCTCCGAGTGCAGAGCTGGGTGCGGAGCGTGTGCTGGACTGCTCGAGTTGTTGGCAGCCCTCGCCTCGTCTTCCTCCTCCTCATCAGACCCCGAGCCTAGCAGCGAATCTGCTGCGAGGGACAAACAAATAGAGTTAATATTCATTCTTGAAAATATTGCATCCACAACTTGCAGAATAAGTTCTTTTTTATATGAGAAGGCTGCTAGCGATCTGGCGGTTCACCTGCTGTTAAGTGATTACAGCCGCTCATGGATATCTGCAGGACCAGAGAGTTTGAAGATGCGTGGCCAAGTTTTATAAAGGTTGGGCCCGTTATGTCATTCACCAGACGAACGCATAGCACTTCCACTTCGCGTTGGTCTTCTGTGAGGCCGTGGTACTTACCCGGAAGCGCCTGCCCATTCTTGCAACAGCCGGCTGCTGCATGGCCCTACCACATCAATTCTGCTGCGGGCACCAAAGGAAATAGCAATATATATATATGCGCGAATGAAGTTTTGCGAATTGTCTATGGGTACAGTTTATATTTGAATACGAGTTACGTCGAGGCACCTACGCATCACAGACACGCACGATTTTAACGACGTATATGGGCCAGCTACCGCAAATGAACACAGTGCGTTTTTGATTTCATCGCTTCCGTAGTAGTAATTTTGATCTCATCAACGAGTCCATTGGTCGGAAACGATTCTATAAATATGATTGAAGACGCATTGGAATCAGATTCACCTCAAACCACGCCAGAATTAACAGCAGCCTTCAAGTTAATCGATAAAAGAAAAATCACTGACGTCACGAGGGAAGTTATTTTTTTTATCATATAATTAATTATTTATTCTATTAAAAAACAAGCGGTTGCTGTTTTAACTATATGCTAATAAAGACGCTCATAAGCTTTGACTCAATTGTAACACAATAACATTATGTTGTTTGTTACGTCATAAATTCATAGGAATTGATTTTAATTTACATCTATACTTTCCAGCTATTCTAACTCCTTTCCAGTATCTATGCAGTAAAATTGACTTATCAAAAAGCAATCGTCCGACCCTTCGCGCACTTAACCCAATAAAAATGCAATTTTAGAGAGCGACTCCCCCAAAAGAATTGGATGGGAAGGAATTAGCCGCAAAGACAATTACTTATGTTAGGCAGGGAACTGAATTGCTTCTACCAAATGCTTTCGAAGGAAACTCTGTTTTCGCTGCGTAAATTCTTTACTTTATCTGTAATATTTCGATATTTCTCTATACACTTATTTAGTATAGTGCCTATTTGTTTTATAATATATTATTAAAAATAGAAAATTACTCTTTACAGTCAAGTAGCAGCTTATGCTATTACTTGAACGGGTAGTATTCCGCACACGTGCCACGTTTGTGACAATACCTCCATAAATACTTATTCTTTAATGTCTCTGTGGCGTAGTTGCCAATTAGCTTCGGCACCGGGAGTCGTGGGTTCGATTCCCACTGGAGACAGCTATTTTTGTGACTCACAGATGATTTTTCGGGATTCGGTTGTTGGTCCTTGTAAAATTTTTGTTCGTAAAAGAGCCTTGAGATAATGTTATCCTACAGTAAGGATAATGAGAAAAAAATATTAAAAGAAAAGCTTTTTGAAAATAACGACTCCCGACGCTGAAGCCGAACTATTACTTGGTAATTTCATTTGGTCCGACCACAAAGTTCTATGACCACGTAATATCGAGAAGCCTAAAAAATACAAACTCGGAGTATCATTGTGAAATGGAGGGTAGTAGGGGACAATGCAAACTTTTTTACATTGCTGTATAAACATTGGGGCTGGTTGTCGGTGAACCTCTGACTAAGAGGTTATGGTACTTAAGTACTGCCACTAGTGAAACCAGTTTTATGATGTTATCCTATTTCTTTACATTAAAATATATTTTAATGTAAATACGTATGTAGCGATTGTTTTATAAATACCTAAAGGGCTCATACTATTTTCACACCGTAGAAACTATTCCCGCCCCTTTTCTGTATAGCCTAATGTTTTGAATATCGTAATGGTACCAGATTAAAAAAAAGTTACTTTGCTGCGAAAGCTGCACAGATAAAAACCCTGTAGAGAAGAAAGTAAGCACACAGCAAATATGCTTACGTATTACCAACAAATAGAAGCTTAAATGTATACGCCATAAATATCATAGAAAATTTAAAATGATTCAAAAAAGGAACCTGGCACGAAAGCGTGCGCAGATAAAAAACGCTCAAGATAAATAAAAAAAATATGCAGACCTGGCATGTATACGTAGGTTATGAACACGGATAGAGGCAGTTGGACTGTTTGAGCCCGTGGTTGCGCAAGTGCTGTCGGGTGTGTCTGACCGGGTGTTCGCCCGAGGCAACATGGGCGTGTTCGCGGACCCAACATCTGTCAAGGGGTGAGATCAAGCTATCTGTTTATGCAGCGAGATCGCTCCACGCATAACGTTGAATTTAAATGGATACCGGATAAACTTTCGTAAATAGCGCCCTTGCACAAATGGAATGTTGTGAACAAAAGCCATCGACACTCGACCTTCTTCGGGGCTTATTATTTTCGAAATAAGAATAAAAGTTAAAACAGTTTGCATAGTTGCAGTAAGAGTTAAGAAACGAATATTTAGGCTGACTATAGCGGCGGTTTAGTGTGGTATTGTCTTGTTGTTTTTGCTCGTCTTAAGACAGCATACACATCATGCTCTAAATAGTAGATAAGTATGCACTTACGATATTTATAAAGTAATACAATAAAAATAAAATTCAACAAAAAATAATCCCGAATTACTCTATGCAATTTTTGTTATTTACTTTATGTAATTTATTTAGTTTAGCAGCTATTTTTATTTAGTTTAGCAGCTATTTTAAAACAGGTCTGTACCTATTTTTACATTTTAGTCAAAAAATCAAGAGCTGATTATTCTGTAATAATCATTTCTTCAAACAATTGTATGACAAAACCAAACTTGACTTTGATACTTTTTGACTTTATAAATACGAATATGGAATTATAAATGGAATATTAAATTCGTTATCTAATAAAGACAAAAACATTAAACAAATGTGGAATTTGTCATACCTTTACCTTACCGACGGGTAATAAAGAACATTTCTATAATGTCAAAGGTCGCGAAAGTAATTTAATAACGAAAACAAAGGAAGTAGTTCGTCATTGCCTATTTCCAGGAACTTGACTTGTATTAATCCCACACAATTTTTTCCGCCCCGCCCTGACTTGCACCATTACTTTGCAAGTCATTCGTAGGGAAGAGGGAAATTCATTGTAGCAGCTGCCACAAGGACCTCGTAATCACGGGAGTCGACTATTTAACGCAATAACTAAGTTAAACTTAACAAAACAATAGATATCTTGTCATGCCGTATAAATTAATACCAATATGACGGATTTAACTATATGCGAACGCTTTCTAAATGACGTTTTAACTGTTCTTCACAATTTAATATACATGCGGATTATATGGAAAATTAAAATATAAAATTTCATTGTTCTTCTCTTACTAATTATACTTAATAAGCAAACCGTTCGTAGTTCCGATATTTACACATGAACGTTGAAACTTATATTTTGACAATACAATTTTTCCAGCAAATATTTGGCTTATAAATATGTCAATATTACTCGCGATACTTCTGGTAAGCAGATCTTGCATCTTGACATGAATGTATGAGCCATTGTAATATTTTAAAGTGGTAAACGGCCGTGCGAATCAACCTCACACTCGGAGGCCCTCGGAAAATTTCCTTATCGCTATAAGGTCGTGTGAATTTACAAGGGCGCTGTCTCGTCGAGGCCGGCGAATAGGCGAAGTACGGACTTAAGTCCGCAAACACTCCGGGGTAACCGTCCGCACATCGAGAGCACTCCCGCGCCCTCTGTTTCGAGTTGTGCAAACACCACTCATAGACGCTCCGGCTGTTTGCTTCGGGCTTTGAAACAATCGAGTGATGCGAAAGCGATATGGTCAGAGTTTCGACGCAAAAAGTCCGACGGTTATTCTGAAACTCCTTCGATGTATTCGTGCGTAATAGAAATGTGCTCTTGATTATGTTATAGGTAGGTAAATAAATATTTATTGGGTGATTTTCTATCGTAAGTAATATGTTTTTGGTTTTAAGCTTAAGCGACTAATTTTGCGTTGAATTATTTGTTCATTAAATTTAATTTTCACTGGATGGAGTAAGGTGTTTATCCTCCTAACTTATTCTCATAGTTTATCCGGTCAAATATATAATAGACGTATATTTATATATATTACAAAATAAAATTAATTTAAGAATTTTATAGAGTTTAATTTGACTATACGAAAATTTTGTTATTTATTCGTTTCATGAGGTTCATTTTTCGAATTCGTTTAAAACGTTCTTAAAACCAAAATTGCGTAAAGATGTTTGATATACCAAAACCTTTTCCCGTTTTCTTGCCTTTCAAGATTTCAAATGCTTTTGACTTTATTAATAAAATGGAAATAAGAGCTATTTCAAAATTTATGAACATTTTCAATGTATTCTGAAAATGTTTGACATTTGCGAGGAATGAATTTACAGGCTTTGAGTAATTGTTGTCGTAAGTTTCAAATGCGTTGCCTCGTTCATCCTAAAACAGAAGGGTTATTTTTTCTTTAGTTTTATTTTTATCGCTTTATGTAATGGTATAGCGTTTATTACGGGTTCAATATAAATACATAGTGAAATATTATAAATAAAAACGCAATTAAGTCGGTGTACATGACTGACGTCGAATTCATTAAGTTTTTACACGACTCAGTCGTAAAACGCACCGTAAAACATTTTAATTTGACAACTATTAATAAAGTGATCCAATCATTAAGGTTTTACTGGCACTAATGGACTGCGTAATAACACAAGTCAATTGTTACTAACCCATGCCTTTGACGTAAATTTCTCAACCGTTGTATTTAACTACTAATTAATATGTGGTTTTCGTATAGTTTCATAAAATAATTGTCTTTTTATTACGCATGTATAAACTATATTTTAATTATATATTATGGCTTATACTATGGCTAAGCATCTTTTAGGTTAAAAATAGTTTGTATTTGTATTGCGTACGCGTAACGTTACG